ATAAAGTCATTCGTCTCTAAGAAGGCGAGTACTTCTATGTTATTTTGATCAAGGAATTCTGAATACTAAGCTTAATTCTGTCGCTTAAAGTGATAAGCGAAGACTCTTGTAAATCACACAGAAGCTCTCATTGGGATCGATGCCACCGGCAGAAGGAAGTCTGTTTTTCCCGGTCATGTCTTGTCCTGTCTGCCCTGTGGCATCCCTGCTCGAGCCCAGTGGACGGCAGCCACGTGCTGTGTGGACCTGCCTCCTGCTGGGCCCCCAGAGCCGGAGGGGCTTCGGCAGCCCCGCGCCGGAGCTTTGTTGGGTGCAGTATGGTCGCTCTTTTGCCTGTCTTTTGTGGTGTTCTAAACTTTAGTGGAATTCGTCTGCTAGTATTGGCACCAAATTTGCATCAGAGCAGCTGTCAGTGGGACTGTCACCGCCCCCCGCCCCCAACCCCTGCCCTGAGCGTGAGCCCTGCTTAAGGACCCGAGTCACCCAGAACAGTCTCTGAGAAGCTTCCACTCTGTCCATGCTTGATTAGTGTGGTTACTTTCTCAGAGGGAAAAGAAAGCTTACACTGGTTGTGTGTTTTTGAAGCAGTTGCTAAAACACCTACTACATTGGTACTAACATCTAGCGGTACTAAAAATCAGGCACTATAGGTGTTTGTAAACCTGTGGATTTTCAGGAGGAAGGTAGTCAGTGAGCCATGTGTTTACTATGTTGGTTAAAAGAATGAAAAACCCCTTGGTTACTTTGAGAGGCAATGGACTGTGGAGACTAAGAGCTCCAGCTCCAGAGACCGATGGCCAGGACTGAATCGCACGTCTGTCACCGTTGCTCATAATCTTGGGCAGTTTGTTCATCCGTAGAATAGGTTACAATAGTGCCCGCCCCCTATTATTTGGGGCTGGCTCAGAGTTATCACTCGATAACTTTTTAAGTACTATTTTTCTCGTCACTTCTATTTTGCTTCCAATATATTGTTTTCATCTTATAGAAAAGAGCAGTTTAGTGAATCTTAGCACATCCCATAAAGCAATATCGCATGGGCAGGAGAGCATGAGAGAGCATTGTGTAGACTGTAGAACCGGACAGAGCTACGTTTGAACTTCCACCCCATAGAAGCTACATCGCCTTAACCTAACCCTCTGTTTCTTTATCTGCAAAATGGAAATACTACTATTCCCTCCAGGTTCGAGTTGTTGTGGAGTATAGATAAAGTGTATAAAAGAGGAACATACTCTTGACATACAGTGAGCACTCAACGGATGTTATCTGTTTTTAGTGTAATTACATCTTATGATCTGGGTGTGTTTTTATCAGTTGATTAAATATCCAATTATTTGTATAAGCTCTAAGGTGCTTTTTAGCCTATTCGATAAGGAAAGGACCAATTAATTTAAATGTAATTAGTATCTGTTAATTTGCATAACTGGTTAATTATTAGTACAAATTAGCTTAAAATACTGATTAGTAAGTCATGGGTATATACATGTAAATATATATAACTTATGCATATCAGAGGGAGGGAGAAAGAGAGAGAGAGTGATCCAGGTTCAGGAGGAAAGAGGAGAAGATGGGAATTCAGGGGAGCTTATTCTGAGGACAGGGGTTTCTAGTCCAAGCTGAATTGTGAAATTCCTTAGCAGTTAGCCGGGGCACAGTGGGAGGAGGCAAGAGAGACAAGGAGCAGCCTCAAAAAAACTGCACGCTGCTTCACTCTTGTGGGGCTGGAGCGTGTGTTTGGGTGGGTTGGAGTCACTGGGAAGAGACCACAGAAGTCCAAGAGATAACTCAGAGCCCAAAGCCTGATGAAGAAGCCCTGGTAAGGAGCTTGACTTTTATCCTGAGGGCAATGAGGAGCCACCTGTGGTTACTTTTTTAAGCAGGGGAGTGAGAAGATCAGATACGCCCATTAGAGAAAGTATTGTACTGTCTATGTGGAGACCGAACTGGAGGGGCCTGAAGAGGGAGGACAGGAACCCCCCAAAGGAGACTGTCGTAGGAAGCCAGTGCTGGCGGCCTGGGCTGAAAGCTAGCATCTCTCTTCGCCTAAGTGCTACATGAACGCAAGTGGGGAGGCCACGCAGATCTGATTCTGGTGGCAGAGAACTGATACCGCCTGAGCCCGAGTCTCTAGTGTGTGCCCTCTCCCCGACGTGAGTGGGAGCCTTTTGGAAGCTGCATTGTCTCCTGGGCCACTGGAGCGCCATTACATGCCTGTTTCGGCACACTGAACGGAATAGGGCCTCGGCCTGCAGCCAGCCAGGAAATGAGCATAACTTATGTCGAATTCCAGCTAACGTGCAGGCTTGGAAGTAGCATTATGCCTGGAAGTCACTTGGGTACCATTTGGAGTACTGAGCTGGGATTTACTCAGTTATACCTCAGTGGCCTATATGTGCCAATATAGCTTCCATGGTCTTTTCTACTTCGTTCCAGGGCATAACTTATGGAATGAAAACATCTATCTTTTAAACGTATTTTCTATATATTATTCATTTTTCTTGGTGGATAGGGATTATTGAGGTCAGCATTTATTGCTCAAAAACGTGTAGTATGAATGAAAGTAGCAAGTCATAACCTAAAAATGTGTAGTTTAAATGAAAGTAACAAGTCATAACTCAGAGTAATTTTTCCTATCAAATGTACATAATGATTAAAGTTGAAAAAAAAAAGCATTGATATTCACACTCTTGTCCAAAAGAAATTTTAATGTTTTTACAAGGAATTTTTTAAAGGCTCACTAAGTTCGAGAGATATATCTATATCTATATCTATATCTCGATATATAGATATATAGATAGATAGATAGATATAAATAAATTATTAATTGTTCACTGGTGTGTAAATAAACACGTAAAGAGTAAGTCGAAATAAAATAAAACTGATGTCATCCTGTGAAGTCCATGGAGGCCCAAGACTGTGTCTTAGTCATCCTTTTATCCCTGTGTGATTGTCAACACGAGCCCAGAGTTCAGTATGATTACGAAGGAGGAGGCGGCCACACAAAAGAGGATGTGAATGCGGGGTCTAGTCTGATGAGAACCCGATGCTCGTACCTGTTAGTAGTGTGAGAGCTCTCTGCTCGTCTGTCATAGGTGTTCTGGCAATTTTGAGCAGCAGCTATTCCTGAAAGATACACATGAAGAAACCTCAAATATGAGTCTGTGTGATAACTAAATTTGAAACAATTTTAGGAAATATTTTCTCCTCTTAATGAAAATAACAAATCTCTAGATCAGGTTTTCAAAGTTCAGAGATGCTCGATAAGTAAATAGAAAAATAATTTTAGATATGCAAAGAGATTAAATCATATTTATCTAGTCTGGGAAAGTAAAAAGAGAAAAGATACATAAATACAGTGGACAATTTTAGAAATGTTTTCTGGCATAAACAGTAACAATTCTGAACATTTGCTGATACTGTAGATTGTCCTTTGTACTTCACAAAACATTACCTCATTTGATCTGTTTAAGAAACCCTGTGGAGTAGAGACATCATATCTTAGAGTGATTAGGTGATTTGTCCAAAGTCCAAACAGTTCATAAGTGATGAACCAGAAGCTGTTTTCTGACTCCTAAGCCAGTACTTAAATGTTCAGTAGCAAGTAGATAATTGGATATTAACTACCACATCCTACCTGACGGCATCTGTGAACAGCTAGTTCGCCTTGAAGACTTCCTCCTCAGACTGCCGAGACGCTTATTGCCTGTACCACTCATTTGCCATAGAATTTTTATTTTTTAAAAATGATTTTTCTATTTATAGAAGCAACACAAGTACTGAGTAGAAAATTTTTAAATGTTCATTGGCTTCATGAATTTTGTATGACCAATGATTGTACCTCTCCATAGGTAAACTTTTTGAGATTTCTGTGCTTTTAAAAAATTTTTTATGCTTTTAAAAATATTTCCAATAAGATCACCAAAAATATTTTTTTAGCTTTAGTTTTAATTTTAACAAAATAGCATAAAAATGGTTCCCGTGTCATTAAACGTCATTATAATACAGTTTCGACAGCTTCATGGCATTCCACTTTCTAATACCGTGACATACCTGGGCATGCTTTCTGTATTCTGTTATTAAAAGCAACACAGAAATATGTCTTCGCTAACTCTCTCTCTGTATAAATCCATATTTTTTTCTTAGAGCAAATATCTGGCAGTAAAATCACTAGGTTAAATGGTATAGAAAATTTCCTGATCATTGATGAGATAGTCCAACAGAAAAGTTGTGCCTATTTAAATTCCCATTTTGCTATATGGGAATGACATCTTTTACACACTCGCCAATCCCTGATCTTGTCTTTTCAAAAATCTTTGCCAATATGATTATCAAAATTAATATAGTGTTGCTTTGCATAATTGAACGATGAGATAGTAGGCAGAACTAAGATTTGCTCTTAGGTTTGCATCCTGCACGGTGCCTGCTGTTCATTGTTGAACACATGGAAGCATTCAGCAAATAGAATTTTACCTAGACAGCACACGTAATCCATAAACATTGGTCACATTCCTCTCTGATCTTTGTTTTATCAAGTACTGTCATTCATTTTCTGTGAAATGAAATAATCAGCTTTGTCAGTGGGCCATTATAATGACAAGTGCAAATCTTTAAAGATGATCCAATCTGGTCCCATCATTTTATCTTAAGCAAACTTAACATAAAAATACAAAAAATCCTGTTGTTTTACAAATTCAAGTGGAAAGCTCAATGTCTAATAGTTTGGCACAAATATACAATTTTGTCTGTGGTTTATATGTGTTATTCATGTCCTCAGAAATTTAAACCTCTTTACTATTTAATTCTTTGTAATATAGTAAAACTAAAATTGCCAACTATTTTAAGAAAATGAAATTTTAGCCATGACAGTGGATTCTGGTTTTAAAGAGAAACCAAATTCATTTGCGATGAACTCCAGCTCTGCTTTATCTAAGTAGTAATTTCTTATAGGCACATTATTCTTCGTGGCTTAGTCAACCGTATTTCTTTTCGTTCTGTTTTAGGTAGCAGTTTTACGACATCATCAGGATTATATACAGGAAATAATTCACTCACAAATTCCTCTGGATTTAACAGTTCACAGCAGGTAATTTTAAAAGCCAATTTAACTTCTGAAATTTTAAAAATGCAACAGATGATTTTCTTTTATTAAAAAAAATCTGTTTATAGTACACTATAAGTGGGAGCTTCCCTAAGCCTTTTAATAGTTTTTTTTTTTTTTTTTTTAAGTCTTTGTAGTAGTCTTTTACGGTGAGTTGTCTCATTTTCAGATTGGTTTAATTTTACCTAGTAATGCGTCATGGCACAGAAGAAGTGTGAGGAGTGTATCTGATCTTACATAAAATTTGTTTGCAGTGCAAGCACTTCAGTTAACGTGTGCTTGTGTGTTCCTATGCAAATGCAGGGAAAGCACAGAAGCACGATCACATTTGCAGCTATGCTCTGCAATGTAAGAAATGAGCGGCCGTGTTCTGACAGTTGATTCTCGTGCGGTTCTATCTGGCAGGACTACCCATCTTACCCCAGCTTCGGCCAGGGGCAATATGCACAGTATTATAACAGCTCACCCTACCCAGCCCATTATATGACGAGCAGCAACACCAGCCCGACCACGCCGTCTACAAACGCCACCTACCAGCTTCAGGAACCACCGTCTGGCGTCACCAGCCAAGCAGTTACAGATTCCGCAGCAGGTAATTACGTGCGTTTTATTAGTCCTGCAGGCTGTATGGCTGGCGGTTTAAATGCATTTTTCTACAGTCATATATTCATGCAGTGGTTGCACAGTTTTGTCAAATTTTGGCAAGGCCTACATTTTATCAAGCAGCGCGATGTGGCATTAATTTTATTTGTTTAAAATTTTTAGTGTAAAGTGTGTAAACTTCAAAAGCACATGAATAGAGATTGTATTTCGTTATAGCTATATACAGTTTTCAAGATATATAGAGCTTTTTAGATGCATAATTCTAAATATTTGGCTATAATTCTTAATTATAATTTGCTGACGTTGAATGTAAAAGTAAATGACATCACCTTGAATTTGGTGTTTATCATCATTTAATATTTAATGGTTTTCAAAAAAGCAAATGGCATCAAAGGGCTGATCATGGAAAACTGGTTGCCCAGGCCGACCCCTGCCCACTCGTAGCCTGCTGTGAATTTCATAACAATATGTCTGAGCGTGGGCGTTTTTTCATACTTCCAATGAAAACCTTTGATGGGCCCTTTCTGATGAAAGTCTCTCCATCTCTGGATGTTTTCCTACTATGTGTGGTCTCTGGAACCCTTAATGGCGTAGACACAGTTTCCTGAATTGGTCTTTGCTTGTATTTCTTAGATTTTCTCCCATACTGCTCACAGCCTTGTCTTAACGTTTTTTAAATGTAATCTCTGTCTCCATGGATTATGAGGTGAGTCGTTATCCTCCAAGAGTCAGAGAGTTTTCTTCCTTTGCCTTTTTATTCCTAGAGCCAAAGCCCACTCTGTTGTTATTGTAAGTCTGGTTGAAATGGTCTTACACTGAAAGACTACTTCTGCGACGTTGTGATCATAGCTTGTTCATTCTAGGTGGTTGTCCTAAATCATGGGAGGGAAAAGTTTTATGTAATAGGTGCTAATTTAAATTTTGACTGTAGGTTTATTGTATAACTATAACTATCAGCAAGTGATCCCCAAAAAAGCTCCTTTAAGTTTTTAGTGTTCTACCTTTTCTCTTAAATACATACAAATGCTATTTTATTCTAGAGTAGGAAGTTACATCATTCCTAAACTTATATTCCAAGTGATTGCAAATACTATTTCTGCTGCACATCTCAACTCTAAACTTTTTTATCTTTGATCATCATATTCCATTTACATTTATTTTAAGAAAATCTAACTTGATAGAATATCCTTCACTCAGTTCACATGTGTAAATACAGCATTCATAGAAGCTAGTATCCACATCTCTTGTCTTTTAGATTCCACATCTACATAATCTCACTCCAGATAAACTTTGTTGTAGAAGGTATTGAATTGACTGTAGTAGTTGTTATAGAATTTTCCTTCCTACTTCCATAGAGCTTCATGTAGGCATCACGAGAAAAGATAATGGCTCGTCCCAAGTTTAGGGAGATCTCAAGTTTTCACATGCATCCTCTGGTCATGCAAGGTCTTGAGGACTAAAAAGAGTTTCAAAATGAAGATGGCTATGTGAATGAGAAGTAGAAAAACGCTATACGATCTGTAGAATAAGAAAATGAGAAAAGGAGGTGATAGACTAATTTTAATTCATGACATTTTGGTTGTGCAGACTACAGGATATAAAAGACTGATAGGGACTTAATTATGTTTCTTAAGGTTGATGAGAGTTTTAGGAAAGACCATTTAGTCATATCGTTAAAGTTTGTCTCTGAAATTTGACATCATTCCAAGTGAATTTTATTTATAAAAGGGATGCCATTGAAAGTGGGTATGACTGGGCACAAAGCCATGCCACACAGGAAACAGTGCAAAATCTTAATTGTCAAAAGGTATACATGATTTTATTTTAAGAATTTATGATCTGTTTTAGGTTTTATTTGAATGAATGGTTAATGATTTAGGTACTTATTTCAATTTCAGTATTTTTATGTCTACAGAATAGGAATGAATTGAACCAGGGAGCAAATAATATTTTTCAGATTTTTTGCATTCACCCCTTCCCCCCTACGATGAATATGAATGGATAAGCCTTTCTCATGTTGCATAGTGGGAGGTGGGAAGTTCAGTGAGTCTCCACATTGACAAAGACATGTGGATTACTTTCAAAGTTCAAGGAATATTTAGTCTGGGGTTTTTTGTTTTGTTTTTAAATTTGCAGTAAGACAGGATTCAACCTAGTTTTTTGGTGTTAACCTTCCTTTCTCATTAGTCATATATAAAATTATAGACTTGTCCTTGATGAAAAGGAAGTTTTGTTGGTAAAGTACCTAAATCTATTAAACTAAAGAATCAAGGAATTATTTATTACATATAACTTAATGTTTCAGTTTTGAGATGGAAATAAAAATAGTTGAATTATATCTGTTTTCGTTGAAATAATTTAAGGTGTTTTTTTTCCTTTCGGTTTTAATATTGGGTTTATTGGGATTAAAGTCAGTATTTTCTAATGCTGGACAATGAGACTCTGAGCTTTACCTGATCTTATGTGTGACCAGGATTCTGCCTTTCAGTTTCATGGGATTATGCAGTACAGATGAATATACAACACATGTGGTTCTCCTCTCATACTTTATAATATCTGTTCTTGTATTCATAGAATTATTATGTAATGATGAACATATAAAGATAGCTTTGTAAGATTTTTTCAGGGAAAACATGTAGGGACTCATTTATTTTTTTATTATGCATTTTTAAAGTTATATGAAGGAAAGCTACCTTTTAAGTGTATGATATTATATAGTATTACTTATACACACAGACCTCTTTATGATTCTTAAGCTCAAAAACAATTTTAATGTGTTTATAATTAAATATTAAAAGCTGCATTCTCCTCTGGATAGGCATATGTAATACATTAAAAATAAAATAACTTGAATATGAAAGTTTAAATGTTTAATCTCGAATTTATAATTCATTTTAAAAACTAAAAACAGTGCATTTGCATTCAGTGTTGTTTATTTTTTTTGAGATATAATTTACATTAACAGGTTAGTTTCAGGTGTTCAGCATGATTCAACGTCTGCATATACTGTGACACCGCCACAGTAAGTCTAGCTAACATCCACCAGTGCATGACGTTACAGATTCTTTCTTTGTAATGAAAATTTACAAGATCTCTCAGCAACTTTTCTATCCTTTGCATTTATTTTTAAAAATGAGTATGCTAGTTACATTTTGACTATCTTAATAAAATAAAATTTGCATCATCTGGAGATATGTAAGAATTCATCCACCTTGAGAAATATAGTGAGGTTCGCCTTGTCATCCAGCAACATTTTAATTTATTTGTTGACTCAAGAAAATCAAGCCACTCTTCAAGGAGCAATGCCAGCCTGCCCCTCCCCAATCGAAGGACACTTCGGTTGCTTCCATTGTTGGCAATTGCAAATAAAGCTACTGTAAATATTCGTGTGCATGTTTTTGTATGGACATAAATTTTCACTTCTTTTGGGTAATTATCTAGGCATGTGATCTCTGGGTTGTATGGTAATAGTATGTTTCATTTTATAAGAAATTGCCAAATTGTCTTCCAAAATGGCTGTACCATTTTGTGGTGACTGAGAGTCACTGTTGCTCCACATCCTTACCAACATTTGGTGTTGGTGTTGTCATTATCTCAGATTTTGGCCATTCAAGTAGGTGTATAGTGGTATCTAGTTTGAATTTGCATTTCCCTAATGAAATATGATGAGTGTCTTTCCATATTTTTATTCGCCATCTGTATATCTTCTTCAGTAAGGTGTCTATTCAGACCTTTTGCCCACTTTTTAATCAGGTTGTTTATTTTCTTACTGTTGAGTTTTAAGAGTCTTTAGTATATTTGGATACAAGTCCTTTATCCGATATGTGTTTTGCAAATACTTTCTTCCAGTCTGTGGCTTGTCTTTTTATTCTCTTAACAGTATCTTTTGCAGAGCAGAAGTTTTTAATTTGAATGAAGTCCAGCATCAATTTTTTCTTTCATGGGACACGCTTTTGATTTTATATCTAAAAACTCATTGTCATGCATAACTTTTCTCTTACATTATAATCTAGGAGTTTCATAGTTTTGTATTTTACATTTAGGACTCTATACTTTTGTGAAAAGTATAAAGTCAGCGTCTAGATTCACTTTTGTGTGTGGATGCCCAGTGGTTGTCTCCCGTTTTTGCCCATTGAATTGCCTTTAGTCTTTTGTCAAAGATCAGTTGACTATGTTAGTGTAGGTCTGTTTCTGGGCTCTCTATTCCGTTTTGTTGATCTATTTGTTCTTTTGCCAATACCACACTGTCTTGATTATGTAGCTTTATAGTTAAAGTCTTTAAGTTGAGCGGCGTCAGTCATCTGACTTTGTTCTTCATCAATATTGTGTTGGCTTTGTGGGTCTTTTGCTTTTCCATATAAACTTTAGAATCAGTTTCTGAATATCCACCAAGTAACTTACTGGGATTTTGACTGGAGCTGCATTGAATCTGCAGATCAAGTTGGGAAGAACTGGCAATATTGAATTTTCCTCCCCATGTACATGGAGTAGCTCTCCATTAATTTAGATTTTGATTTTTCTCATCAGTTTTGTAGTTTTTCCTTATATAGATCTTGTACTTATTTTTTAGCTTTCTGTTTCTCTCTCTCTCTCTCTTTATTTATTTATTTTTTTGATGCTAATGTAAATTGGGTTGTGTTTGTAATCTCAAATTCCAATTACTCATTTCGGATATATAGGAAAGCAATGGACTTTTGTATATTAGCCTTGTATCCTGCAATCTTTCTATAATCACTTAGTAGTTTCAGAAGTTCTTTGTTGAGTCTTTGGTATTTTTTACATAGATAGTTATGCCACCTGTGAACAAAGAGATTTATGTTTTCCTTCCCAATCTGAATAACTTTTGTTTCCTTTCCTGTCTTATTGCATTAGCTAGGACTTCCAGGACAGAGTCGAATAGGAGTGGTGTGAGGCGGCATCCTTGCCTTATTTCCAATCTTAGGGAGAAAACATCTAGTTTCTCACCATTAAGCATGATATTAGCTGTAG